AATGCTGTGTGATCGTCAATGTGTCTGCCCACGGAACAAGGGAAATTCATTTACAGATGGGAGGCAAGATAGTCTAGCAACCTCACTGGACTTTCTCTTTGCTGCCATTTTGCTCTGGACAAGAGGAGAGCAATTGGAGGTAGGGGTGTGGGGAGGAGGGACTCAGGGAGATGGGAATCCAAGCTGGCTTTGTAGATACAGCTGCAGCATTCTGTAAACACACGCCTTGTTTCCAGTGGCCTTTCAAAAGGCAAATTCATGTGAGTTATTTTGCCATAAAAGGGAATCAGCCTTCCAGTTCATTTTCCTGAAGTCCTGTGAAGCCCGATGACCACAACACTCCCAAAGGTCCCCAGCAGCAAAGAATCTTCTTCCCCTCCCACATCCCAACCTCTTGGAAAAGAGTTTTCCCACCAGAAGCTCAAATAATTAAAAACATTCTCCGAACAGAATACAAAATATGGATAAAAGGAGCCCGTTTGCAGGGGCCGTAGGGTTGCATTTTTACGGTTTGATGATATACTAACTCCGAAGCTACCACATTGGGGAGTTAATCACACATGATATTAAAGGGTGCAGGGGTGGTGTGTTTTGTGCCTGTGGCTTGTTTACCTTGCATCTTTCTTTGTTATTTAACTTTAGGAAGAGGCCTGCAAAAGAGATTGCAGTCTGCATGAAGGCAATGGCGGTCTCTGAACTCTGGAGCCTAGCTTCTTAAAACCTGTCTAGGTAAATTACTTTCCAGCCTGAGTATCTCCTCTGAGGAGAGTATTGGGGAGGAGCCTCCAGGGAATAGGCTAACTTTTTAATGGCTCCCTCAGATTAAGGGGAAGGAAATGTGAAGTCCTTGGGGGGGAGGCACTTTGCTAGGCTGTCTGCATCCTGTAATTCTCCCTGCCTCTGTGAATCATACTTTTAAGACTCCTTTTCAAGGACATTTGTCTTCCTTTAAGAGAAATCCAAAGCAGAGAAGATGAGGTTTAAAATAGGTCTCAATCAAGCTTTTGCCATAAAATCAATTGTGTGGGTGTCACTCTCTACTTTAGGAAGGCTGCTTCTAGTTCCACGGGCTTCTCTTGCCATGCAAGAGACTTCGCAAGATGGTATTCTGGTTTCCTTTGGGTTCAGAATTTGCAAATATTTTGTATCCTACGAATGTCTTTGAACTATACTGTATGCAATTTCCACTTGTGCCAGACACTAATTTCCTATGTGCAGGGAGTACCAGGAGGGCTCAAAAGTTACAGAAACATGGCTGCAAATAATTTTAGGGGAAAGAACTTGCTTTTAAAACAGTATCCTAAATAAAAGCATCCAACAGGTAGAAAATTAGGAACTCCATTTATACCGATTCCACAAAGCCATCAACACCCTTCTTTTTATTTATTTATTTATTTATTTATTTATTTATTTATTTATTATTTCTGCCTCCTATTTCCCTCCACCTCCCCCGATCAAGTCCCCCTCCCTCATCAGCCCAAAGAGCAATCAGGGTTCCCTGCCCTGTGGGAAGTCCAAGGACCACCCACCTCCATCCTTTTTGCTGTGTCTGGCTTTATCCCAGGATGAAGCATTAGGTCATTCAAGCTTCTGTATAAAGAAGTAGCAAAAACACACCTCCTAAAGGTCCATGGTATTGCAGTAGCAACAGCTGAACCAATAAGGTGCATTTTACTGAGCATCTACTAAAGAGTGAATTTTAATCCTTAAAGATGCAACTGAAAGTAGAAAAGCCATTAAAGTGTGACAAGGATGCTTATAGGGTCCTGTGTACAGGAATGGGATGGTCGCAGAATATACAGCACCAGGATGGAGCGTGCGTATAAATTATGGACTACGTTCAGGCTCTGCCTGTGAATGGAAGTCATAAATGTGCTCCTTGGGTTCCAGTTGTTGATGATGGGACCACATGTTGTGGAAAGGTAGGGCGTGGAAATGTCCTTTCCTCTCACCTTTGTCATAAAACTAAAAATGCTCTGAAAAGAGGTGTGTTTTTAAAAATTCCCAAATAGCCAGGCGTTGGTGGCGCACGCCTTTAATCCCAGCACTCGGGAGGCAGAGGCAGGCAGATCTATGGGAGTTCGAGACCAGCCTGGTCTACAGAGCTAGTTCCAGGACAGGCTTCAAAGCCACAGAAAAACCCTGTCTTGAAAACAAACAAAAAAACAAAACAAAACAAAAAAAACCAAACAAACAATTAAAGTCCCAAACAGGATCACACAAAATGAACTGAGGCTGTTTGGAAGTTAACTGGATTCTCTGGCAGTTGATTTTAGACAGTTCACCACACCCAATTCTGCAAATTCTTGTTCTCCAAATCTATAGGCTGTGATTAGGGATACCCGAAAACCAGTCCCACCCAACTTGAACTCACTGGTAGCGAAGTGGGATGGGGACCAGTGTGCACTGTGTGCAGTCTCTTTATTTCCTGTCTTTGCAGCTGTGCTCACAGGTTTTCAATGGCAGGGGACAGAGTTCTGTTTTAAGCCCACTATTGATGGGCACAGGGGCTAGCACATGGATATGTACTCAGATTGACTCCAAAATATCAAGGATTTGGAAAGGCAAAGATCTCACCTCGAGACTCTTGGAAAGGGAATGTATGTCAAATGCATGGAAATATGGGAAATAAGGAAGGAAGAAAAGGGCAGAAGAAACCTTTTGCACTCTGTTTTATCCCTTTCATAATCTCTTTAATCGTCACCTTGCTTTTCCATTATTATAACGGCCACTTCTCATGGAAATTTATTGTCAATATAAAGAGGGAGAATTTAGCAATATAACTGTGATTCCTACTTATATATGCTTTAACGATTTTTAACACAAGTGCCTGTGGTTCACATTTTGTTTCTATAGCCTACTCTACAGATGTATCAAAAATTACATCTTTCTTTTCTTTTATTCTGGGCAGAAAAGCACAAATTGTGGGGCTAAATATTTAATTATTAGGGGTTTGTTGATGAAGAGGGTAGATGGAGGAAAAGAAGAAAGAAAGGAAGGGAAGGAGGGAGGGAGGGAGGGAGAAAGGAAGGGAGGGAAGGAGGGAGGGAGGGAAGGAGGGAGGGAGGAGGAAGGAAGGAAGGAAGGAAGGAAGGAAGGAAGGAAGGAAGGAAGTCAGTCAGTCCTGGTCTGTCGAGCCTATGTTAAAATGTTTCTCACCACTCAAGAGATCTGGAGAGGGAAAAAGATCATTGGCAAGTTTCAGTGTTTTCAAACTGTCATGCAAATATACAACAGCATAAATTTTAAGTCTAATTCCCGTGGGAGCAAAATATTTAATTTCCCTACCTTTTCTGTTTAGTGCTGATTTCTATAAAAATCTGCTATATTACGTAGTCCATATTGTAGAGATTATAAATACAAATATTTTATTACTTATGCATAAAACATGATTAGTTGGGGATATAAAGCATGGTATCCTCAGGTACCACTGCCACTTGATTGTTCTGAGTATTGGCTTTCTGACAGGCTCTGGAATGAAGCCATTTTTATTAATTTAGTTATTTTTGCTGATATAAAAGCCCGTCTATCATGTTAATGATGTATCGGTCTGCGGTCCCACCGAACAATAATTACAGAATGTCCCTAATAGTAAATCATTTGTCACAATCACAGCTCAGTACAACAACCTTCTGTGGAGCAGGGAAGACATTATCTGAATAGCAATACACCTTTAGGTGAACTGATCAGACGGAATCTGGGCAACACCTGAGAGTCAGCTCAGACACATCCTTATCCAGCTCTCAGCTTGGGGATGGGAGATGGGGCTGGCTGTATGTTCACCAGTGTTAACACAAAACTTGTGCCCAGGAGAGAAAAAAGGAGGGTTGACCCAAAGCTAAAGGAGGAAAGTCACACATGCACACGTGCCCCCCCCCCCACACACACGGAGTCGGGGAGTGTCATTTCAACAGAATGGGGATCAGATTCTTCTTGGGGAACAGTTACAACTTCAGTTTCTCTGTATAAATATTTCTAAATCATCAGAACAAACATGTATTGCATGATTCTATATGCAGGGACACTTAGGAGAATAAAGACGTTATTTCCTAAATCAGTTTTCTGTTCTTGACAGAACTGAGTGGCAGCCACATCTCACTTTCTTTCTGTTCTCACACACGCGTGGCTTCCTCCCTGTCTGGGTTCTCCAAGCAGAGTTGGGGATGATGGTATGTCTCTTCTGGATACAGTGATATTGCCCAAAGTCCAGACTTCATACCAAAAAAAAATCTTTTAATCGCTTGATATAATAAACCCTTTTACACTTCCAATGCCATAGATAACTGTTCCATTTTAAAGATTAGGAAACTGAGGCAAAGACCAGAGGTCAGATGCTTAACGATATACGGGGGGGGGGGCGCTTTCTTGGGCTTAGCCAATTTCCCTGCTCACTGCATCTGCCCATAAACCACATTTATTGAGAGGCCTCAGTGAGGGAATCAGCAAGCAGCCTTTGTTGGGCATCTGTGAATCTAGTTGCTGGATTTTGATGAGGAGACATCTACCATATTAGTTTACTTACTGATTCTTAGTAAGAGGGAATTTAACGCACTAGTTTGGCAATGAGGACTAGTGTTCATAGGTCGAGCAGCCAAACTTTTAAGTAGATAAAGCTAAGATCTGAATTTCAGCACAGGTCTCTGACGTTAACGCTGCTTCCGCCCTACATGCTGTAGGAAAAGCTGCCCTGGCGTTGAAGATTTGAGTCCTGCGTAACTTTGCCGGGGAAATGGGGATCCCAAAGTCCTGGGGAAAGTACTTCCCATGACTTTAAGAATGCATCCTGCTTCTCTTTTTCATTTCAAAAGATGGGGCTTCTTTGCTAGACGTTTAATGGAGAGTGGCGTGGAGCATACACACATAGAGAGGAACCGGGAACACTTATCATTAAGTCGGCTGACTTAAAACAAAGTCCCTGGCTCAATTAAATTCTTAGTAGAGGGAGCCATCAGCTGTGGAATGCTTTGAAAGCCCTCAGGGCGGAACAGGAGGTTTTTCCCCTGAAACACCCACAACAGACCTAGACATTTATGCTGCTGGAAATGTGTGAGGTCCCCAATTGAAATCCGAAGACTCAAAGTAACACTGAAGACAATGGTATGTAAGTTGCCTCTCCTCACGGACGTTTATTATTTATCTCTATGATTTTATTTTTGTTTGATTTTTGAGATAGGATCTTAAGTAGACTACGCTTCCTTCAACTTTTCCGTGTAGTTTGGGGGTGACCTTGAACTCCTGATCCTCCTGCCTCCACTGCAGTATTACTGTCCCCCCAATTATCACAGTCCTGCCAGTCGCTGGAGGACACCAAGAGGCACTAGCCAAGCTGTTTTAACTCTCCTCGTACCAAACTGAACTACCAGGGAAGTAAACCCTTGGAGAGTTTTGACCACCAGTGTTACGAGCAAGAGAAATCCTTGACAAGACTTGCAGTTACCGGTAGGGTACCAGAAACCAAATGGTTGGGCTTTGCTGAACCCTTTTCTCACAGGGATGTCCATGAGGGAAACCTTACAGCTTCTCTGGGGGTGGGGGTCGGGGCGAGGGGAAACCGGTTCAAAGGCACGTGCATCCTTGACATCGCTGCCATCTTGTCTACAGCGGCGAAGTTCTATACAAAAAAAAAAAAAAAAAAAAAAAAAAAAAAAAAAAAAAAAAAAAAAAAAAAAAAAAAAAAAAAAACTTAAACGGCTTCCTTTTGCCCCAACCCCACTGTCCCTTACCCCTGTGCTCTGTCCAGAAGAAAAATCCCTCAGCCGCAATGGTTGTTTTTATTAAATTCTCCTCAATAAAAAGCTCAGGCAGGATTTATTAGGTACTCAGGGCGGACGTTTAGTATTTCGCCAGTTATTAAGTGAAAATCAATAGAAAGCAAAGAAAATGGAAGTCACCGCACTGTTAGCGCGCCGTTGTCGCCCAGATATTATGTCGGCTGTCTTGTAGATTCATGACAGACGAAAGAGGCCGGGAGAGAACTTTCTGCTTACATTGCAGGAGCCAAAGTGGGGTTATTCATTAGAGCAGGCAGCCGGCCAGATGGATTTCCAGTTCGGTTTTACCATTTATCTTTAAAACGCCTGTATCGAGTGAGAAAGAACACTGATATTATGTGATATCAATGGCAGGTTTATGTATCTAAATCAGGATTTATTGTTATTTTGTTCCAAAGACCTTTTTTTCTCAAGAAATACCATTTCGGTGGGAGAAAATAATAGCTAAAACCTTGTCAAAGATAACCTTTCGTGCTGTCCCTGCGCCTCTTGCTGTAAAACAAATAGAACCCGGCGTATAAACAGTTTTAACCACGTCCTTACGAATCATCTCTACTCAATCCATTTCCTCCCCCATTTCAATAGCTCTTTTTTTTTTTTTTTTAAACGCTGTAAACATGATTTTGGGTCATTTTGTGTTTTCTTTTGTTGGTGGTTTGACTCTAAATAACGCGAGGGGTTATTTTAATTGCGTGTAAAAGCCATAGCTGTTGCACGCCCTTCTGTGGCATGCTGAATATTGTTCCAGGAGCATTCTTTAGAAACCTTCTGGTCTTCTTTTCTTCCTCAGCCTTAGAATGAACTTCAGCATCAAAACATTCACCGTCTTTTCCAGCTACTTCAGAGTCTTTAAAAGCAGTGACACCTTTTTTTTTTTTTTCTCTCTCTTGTTCATTCACTTATTGGGTAGCTTCTGGTTTTCTTCTCCTCAAAAGGACAGATCATAGTGGACTGGATCCGGTCCGGTCAATTCTGCTAAGTAACCGACATGAACATCTGCTAGAATGAACACGCTGTATAAATAGCTCTCAAGAAAGAGAGTACAATCCATTTATTTGTAAAATGCCATTAGCGACACATTATGATCGGGAGAGAAATTACATCTGGATTTTGATTGAAGCTCTTGCTAATAGGACATTGTGGATATGTGTGTGTGTTTTAAACTACTTTTTTCTAACCTTTTTCCTTTGTGTTTATGAGAAGAAATGGTGAGTTTAGTTTTATATGAACCAACATGAGATAGCAGCCAGGAATATACATGATCCTGTACCAAGCTCCCAGTGACAGCCAACAGAAAATATCTAACACATTGAATGATTCTACCAGCTCCATTGAAGAAAATAGATGTTATTATAAACCAGTGTGAAATAGATTCTTTAATAATTGTACCCTGATATTTCCCTTTATCTATTGAGGTAAAGTATTTAATCAGATTTAAAAACTCACTTAACCAGATATGGTTTCTTGCATTTTCCTTTTTGAACACGGTACCTATTTTCATCTTTCAAGTTTGTTGACAACCGGAAGTGTGTCTTCTAGTTAGATGGTATCCTTTAGTTAAAACATGAAAATAACTTCACGAATCTGCATGCGCTTTAAGAGAGTCTTCTAGAACTCTGTATGTGCTCAGGTAAGACAGTATACATGGCCCTGCTAGTGAGGAGATGGTACAGCAGTTGAACAAGTAGGCCCTGGGACTGGATGGCACTTGTTCAAATCTCAGCTGTCACTCACGAAGTAAATGACTGGGCAAGTTACCGCAAGGCCTATGCCTCAATTCTCCCCCCTCCCCCACCACCTCCATGATGAGGGAAATAGTTAATTTAATGCTTTCCCCCCCAAATATGCAGACTAACACTTGCCTGGAATGAGGGCCTCGGAGTTTGAGGGATCTGTGAGCCTTGAGAGAACAATGTTCCCCACGTGGTGCTGTGGTTGTCTGACAAAACGGTGTGTAATCCCACAGAGGAGCCCATCATCCCTCTGCTTTCACGCTCACCACAGTATTAATGAGGAAAACCAGAAGCTTAAGCTCCAACCCTGAGCGTTCCCCGTTTGAACTGAAGACATTTGGCTTAGAAACTCTTCCCTTCCCAAGATTAACGTTCCATTTGAAACAACGACAACAGCAACAGTGTCTAAGCATAACCACAGTGTTATTGATTTATTAATCATTTTGGTGATTTGGTAGCCCTGAGGCTTACTGTTTGATTGGTAGATCTATTTGTGAACAAACTGATTTGTTGAAAAGACTCTAAACTTTTATTCTAAAAAATATTAGTAACACACGCAGTTTTTGAGGATGAAATGATAGTGATAATTAATGTAACTTGGGCAGTGGAGTCAAAGGAAAGGAAAGTTGATGACTTGGATCTCACAGCCTCCATGCCTCTTGTCTCCTGAAGACACACACAACTGTAATACGTTACTTTAAGTTCGTTCGTTGGTGTATTGCCGTGTGTACTTCCCCAAACACTATGGTTTCTAACTGTAGAGGGAGCATAGTGCCCTTTCTCTATTCCCACTGGGGAACTGGGGGCTGAAAAGCCGAGAATAGATTGTGTTTATCAAAGGAAAAGCAATACATTACATAGTCAGGCCACTGGGAAAAAGCAGTGTGCTTTTAAAATATAGCAGCACTGTGGAGGAGTCACCACTGTCTGCTTCAAAGCGTGCTCAAAGGCAATCTTGTTTTCTTTGGACTAATCTGTGTGCGTAGCAAGGGCAAGAGAAGAAGAACACGGGCTAGTGTTAGGCTGCCTGGCCCTACACACTTTCCTTGGTCGTCCCTCGCCATAGGGTCTTGGCTAATAGTTTAATCTCTTGATTCTTCAGGTTTTCGCTTACTGTATTGGGATAGCGTTCAGTAACCATTGCTGTATTGAGATGGGAAGTCCTTACTCCACAATAGAGCCTAGGTCTGAAGTATTCTCTAAACACTCAAGGAAGGATTTTAACATTGTTGGCTTCCTGTAGGTACAATATGGTACTGACCCATCCAGAAAACAAACCTGGGGCTACCAAAGATGGGTCATTTACCAAGTACAGATGTTGAGAGCTGGGAATGAAACTAATACATGCTTAGTATTCTATCAGATTAATTCCTTTGTCCCTTTAATAGCAATATCAGGCTAGTGGCTAATATATTAGACATCACAGCTTTAAGCAGAGGGAATAATGTGCTCAAAGCAGCAGAGATGAACCTTTACCCCACTGAGGACCTCGTGTTTTGAAGAGTAGAGTGGATGCATGATGGGTCAGAATGAGAAATTAGCAGAGAACGTATGGAGCTTCCTGAAAAGTTCAGGCTTTGACTGGGGCCAGGGAACTCCGGGGATGATGACTAGGAAGAGGGTGATGTAATCAGACTCTCTTTAACAAAATCCACTCCTGTGTCCCTCGACTATAGCTATAAAAATGTCGGACCTAGAGTCATGGGCATCGGGGAGCTTCCAGACTTTTCTGCCAACCAATGGGAAGGATAGATTCAGGCAGGCCTATATTCCTTCTTAGGTAGCATCATTTTGCCTTCTACTCAGCAACCTGTTTGCTGGCCAGTCTCCCAGCTCTGCGCTTTGGAAGACGAGTCAGATCAAAACAGACCATCCATACATCAGTGCTCAGATCCACTAGCGAGAAACTAACATCTATCACCGTGGAAAGCAGCAGCCGGTTACTTCTAATGAAATACTTCAGGTTCCTTCGCTAACGTGTCACCTGCTTGCCAAAGCTCAAAGCATCCCATCGTGGTCCCTCTTCGCTCCCTACTTGTGGCACATCAGTTATCTCTTCCTTCAAGTGCTGGTGACACATTGAGCTGGCCCGTGCACTGAAGGGACTGAGTGATGAGCCTGCCTCCCACGGAACCCCTGCTCACTTCTATTTCTGAATACATGTCAGATGTTTGGAAAGGAGAACCTGGGTGGGGTGGGGGTGTCAAATGCTGACTGCTGACAATCAGAGACCCGACTCTCCATCACAGATAGAACCAGATAAACAGTTGCATTTTTCCCGGTAGAAATGAGGAAGTTGCCTTGCTTCTCAATCCTGGAGGCTCCTCTTCTTTCCAACACACACACACATACACACAGTTATACAAACACACACATGAACACACAAGCATACATATACACAAACACACCTCCACACACACATACACACACATACATACACCTATGCACCTGAACACACCTACACATACAGCTTTAATTCAGCGACTGAGCGAGAACGTTCCAAACAAACGCTAACATCTGATTTGATTAGATCAAGTCATTTTCTCCTTCTTCTTAAAAAGGGGGGGTTATTAATAAAATCATACTTCTGTAA